AGAGAGAGAGAGAGAGAGAGAGAGAGAGAGAGAGAGAGAGAGAGAGAGAGAGAGGATGGTTATTATAATCCAGCATGGACAAAGTATCTAAAAGGGTACTTTGATTTAGTATAATTAACTTACATGTTTTATATGATCTTGGCCTGTTAGTCTGTCTGCTAATCTGTATGTATAATAACTGATTTTATAGACTTTAAAAAATGAATTTGATGCAGGAAAAAAATTAAAGGGAAGTGGAGGGGAAGAGGGAAAAAAAGCATTGAGATGTGTTATATGCATGTACCAATTCCCCATTTTGAATATGATTATTATGTTCTGCAAACATGCTTAACATAAAAATTTAAACTGTTAAAGTAAAACAAAAAAGAATGAAAGCAGATTTTCCAATCTACACCTTAAAGTCTAGGAGAATTTAGAAGGCTTTTTAGAACTCTAAAAAAAAATAGTTGCTAACATGGCAGGAAATACCCAAAGAAATCTTAAATGGAAACATTAAGGCCAACATCACTAAGGAGCCCAAAGGGAAAACAATGAAAGCGGTTCCAAGAAGTATATAGCTGTGAGTGCCCACACTTAAAAAACCTAATGGTGTGGCTCAAGAACCATCCACACTCGAACTTGTAGAAGGAATGAAACTATAAAGATCAGGATGAAAACCAATGAAATTGAGGTTTTAAAAATATCAAGGATCAGTGAATCAAAGAGTTGGATGAAAAATGACCAAAACACAACACATACACAGGGATATGTCATCATTAATGAGTTACAGGAGGTGAGAGAAAGCCCCAGCACACAAATGCTGAACACATCATCTTAGCTGAAAGGGTAGAAAATCACCTGGAAATCAACATGGATAAGCTCTGCCTTGTGTACAGAGTTTCAAACGACACTTGCCACACTCATGGGCCCTGTGGAAACTTTCTGGGAAGGGTGGGACCCAGGGACTGCAGCTTGAGTCCAGGGCTCCAGGGGGACCTGCATGCACCATGCTGACCAGAAGCCGAGGACGCCATGACTGAGGCTCTGTCCTCCAGCAGGGAAGCCTGGGCCCCACAGGTCGCCAGCTCAGCCTGCCCTGCACTGGCCCCACTGCACAGACCCTGACCTGCCCCTCCCTTAGTCAGTAAAGGGAGGAGCCAGGCTGCTTCCTGAGCAGAGCAGGCAGAGGACCTCAGTGCCTCTGACACCGAAGGCCTGAGGTGAGGACGTGGCTGTCAGAGGCTGTTAGAGAGAGGCAGGGCCAATTGGGACAGGCAGCACTGGCTCTGGCTCTGGTGGCAGCACAGAACGGGAAGCGAGGCTGGGCTCAGGCTGATCAGCTGTGACAGGTTGATCCTGCACTGCAAGGCCACCAGAGCGGGGACTCTGAGGGCAGCTTCTTCTGGGGACAGAGACCCTGCTGCAGGCACAGCTCCAAGGGCCCTGGACCTGTTCCTGCCCAGGAGAAACCATGCGGAGCCCTTCTCAGGGAGGTCCAACCAGGCCAGCCCAGCCCAGCCCCCACCCCATGCCCTTCTTACTCCACTGCCCCAACAGTTGCTCCATCCCTCGTGCCTGTGCAGGTCTCTCCCAACCCTGGCACAGTCACACGAGCCACACCTCCCCTGTGCACATGGAGCCCCTCCCATCCCTCCTGCCAGCTGTACCCAGGGGTGACCTGTGCATGCCCTTGAAGCCCCCACCCTCTCATGGTTGGAGCTGGACTGTCCTGTTTCATTCTGTACCTGGCTTCTCTCCAGTCCCCCATAGCACCTCCCCTACAATTCCAGGAACCTTCCAAGTCCTAAAGCTCTCCACCTCTGTACTTCTCTTCCTCAGACAATGTACCCAAAACTACCCTTTACCCCAGCAGTTAGCGCTCACTAGCAGCCGGCAGGGTCTCTGGACGCACTGAGACACCTCCTCCTGAGAACTTGCTTCTCAGGCCTACCTGTGGCACCCAGAGTAGCTGGGGTCTGAATCAAACTGGAGCTGCTCTGCTGTGGCCCACCAGGGGGCTCCACCATCCTGCACAAAGCCCCTAGCCCTTCCCTAGACCCCAGCCCTTGCTCTCCTCTGGACCTGAGCACAGAGGCAACACAAAGGCCAGGGAGCCTATGGAAGCCTCCTCTGGTCCACCAGCCCCCGGACCCCACACTCCTCACAGTCAGCCCAGGGAAGAACTCTGGTCTGCTAGAGCCTGGCAGAGACGGGGGCTTCTGGAGGGCAGGGTCTGTGGGCCCCAGTGCAGCAGGGGTGCAAGGGGCCAGGTATCAGGCTGGAGGTCAGTGTGGGTCTGTAGGAGTCCTGACCAACCCACCTTGTGTACTGGCTCCCCACAGAACAGGCCATGGGGACCTCAGATCCCTGCAGCTTCCCATGGCCTGGTCCCCCACCCTGATGGAGTCACAGTAGCTACAGTACCTACCTGTCTGAGGTGAGATACATTTTGACTGTGGCTTTTGTGGAGAAGACAATGAAGGACATGCGCACTCTGGGGCTAGGAGAAAGCAAGGCTATGAGAAACAACACATTCAACCCAGGATGCAAGCTCCCTGTGCCCACCCTCTGTGCCCACAACCGGTTCAGAAGTGGACTCAGACCTCAGTGAGGGATGCTGCAGCCTATGAGGGTACAGGGAGAGTCAGGGTAGCCTCTGAGAGTTGAGCTTTTGCTCCAACACCCCACCACATTCACACACACACACTCACACATACACACAGGATGACCACATGAAACAGACCCTCTGGACTCCTCCACAAGCACTTCCCTCCGCCTGGCCTGTCTTCTGCAGTCACTTTCTGGCTGTCCTACCTCTTTCCTCTTTCCTCCCTGTTCCTCCTCCCTCCTTCCAGCTCAGGAAACCCCTCTCCCTCTGGGCACCATTCACAACTCCTCCCTTCCTGTCCCTGACCACTGCCCTGGGCCCACGACCTCTCACCCCAGCAAGGCGGCTGCAGCTTCCCTGGCTGAGCTGCCACTGTCCCTTCCCTGGTTCCCAGCCCTGTTCACCCACAGTTCCCAGGCTTGGTTTTTCCTGGAGCACAAGGCTGACCAAGTCACTCCCTGCCCATGAGTCTCCCATGGCTGCCTGTGGCTCACAGGAGGCGGCTCAGCCCCTCCTCAGCCTGGCACAGTGAATCCCGTGGCACTGGCCCCAAGCAAGTTGGTGGGGGGGGGGGTTGTCTAGAACCCTCCCCTGAGTCACTCTCACTCCTCAGCCTACACAGACCACCCACTAGAGGTCGCCCTGAGGATTGCTGGGACCCTGACTCTTCTCCATCCTTCAAGGTCAAGTTCACTTCCCACACCCCCCTGGGAAGCTGCCCAGGATGACTTCCTTCCAGGAATGCTTGCTTTCCCCTTTCACCTTCCTGGTACCTTCTCTGCCCCTTCCTTAACCGCCCCCATCCAGGTGTCAGTACTGAATCCCTCATCTGCCTGTCCTGACTTCCTTCTCCACCTGAGGTCCCAGCCTGGAGGTCCTGGAGGTCAGGGGGTGTCTCAGGTGCCCAGGCTCCCAGGCAGGGCAGCCACACTGCTGAGACCCAGGGGCCAGTGTATTCTGTCCCCTTTCCTGTGCAGGCAGCTGGTCTCTGTGCCCCACCCGAGAGGACCCACCAAGTCTGGTGGAGTGCAGGGATTCTGCAGGGTGGGGACGCGTACTTGAGGTATTTCTCCACCATATCTTCCCAACATGAGCACAGCATATCCCAGTCTAACGTCGTTTTTGACCTGCAAAGAAGAGTGGCAGGACTCAGGGCATGAGGCGCTTCCATTAGATGCATACAACCTCTGCCTCGCCCACCTTCCTGAAGCAACTTAGCAAGCTGCTCCCAACCCAACACTGTGGGTCACCACAGAGATGCCTGTCACTGGGGCAAGGAGCAGAAGGTAACCAGCCAGATCATCTCCTGGGATTGAGAAGCCTCCCTGCGCAAGGGACATGTGGTGGCTGATCAGTGGGGCTGGTCATTGGTCATCTTAGATAGAGATGGGGTGGACAAGAAATGGGAGAATGCGGTTGCAAAGGCCCTGCGACTTCTGGCATTTTCTTGAGCCTGAGTTGCCTTTTATCTTTCCCAGCTTGCACAAATTCCCCATGATGAATGTTATCATTATGTGTACCGAAATGTACCATAAGTGCCTACCTAGCAAGCACACGGTCCTGAGTTCAATTTCTGGTACCAAAATGAAATTAAATTAAATTTTAAAAAAATGAAATGTATTTATAAACTTAAAGCTTCTGAAATCATCCAAGATCCAACCACAGGGTGTCTGTGGACTAGAATCTGAATGTCTCCCAGTCTCTTGTATCCAAGGGTAGGGCTGGGAGCACATGAAAGAATCATCAGGCACTCCCCTCCTCCACTGATGGATGATCAGCAGCTCCCAGCTCTGCTTGCTCTGCTAGAAGTGGCCCTTGCTGGACCCTCCCACTTCAGGATTCAGGGGACGCAGAGGCTGAGTTCTCAGCTCACCCCACACTGGCCCATTTGCCTTCTGGCAGAGGCTCACATCCCAGGCACACACAGGGCCAAGGCAAGAGGGCTACTCACGCGTCAAAGACGAAGTAGATGTCAAAGACTCCATCACAGTACTGCAGCACATCTTCATCCTCTGGGGTCCAGATATTCCTACGCTCACGGTGGTGGGGAGACTGGGAATTACTGGAAGAATTCAAGTAAGAGGGGTGAAAGGGCCCCGAGCCTGCACTGGGGTAGATGAAGCTCCAAGCTCTAAAGAGTGGTACAAGGAGCAGCAGCAGGAGCAACAGGAACAGTGAAGAGTCTGGCACGCGGGGACAGCACTCCTCCATTCTCCCAGCTGTCCCATGTGCGCTGTTGCACTACTGACCCTGTCCTAGAACCCAGAGGCCTGCTTCTTGGCCTCCTTCTGAACCTTCTCACCAGTGTCCACTGCAGCCCCCCAACAGGCCCCTGCACATAGCACAGGATCTGAGGACAGTCGCTCTGGGTGCTCAGCCCTTCCCCCACCTCTAGCAGAATACCCTGGGGTTATGACGGACAGGAAGGTTGACATGGTGACTTTGTGACCTGAACCTCTGTCCAGGGACCTGCATGTTGACAGCATCAGGTGAGAGGGGGCTCATAGGGTCTCTGGGGAAGGTGAGACGAGGCCTCTTTCTCCCTCTTCCCAGCCTTCATGGGTGTTTGTCAAGGGGTCACCTAAGGAACCAGTGGTGCTGAAACCCAGAGACAGCAGCAGTGCTGGCTGAAATCAGGATGTCACCATGGGTGAGTGGGGGTAGGGGCTTCAGGAATTTGGAGGCAGAGTTGGACATGTGAGGCACTGTGTCCATTCTGATCCTGGCCAGGCAGTTGCTGAACTGGGTGAGGTGAAGATTATGCCCTGTGACAAGGCTCCACATGGTACCCTTGTCCCTACCTCATTATAGGACTTCCAACCACAGAGACCTGAAGCAAAAACTATTTTATTGTGTTCCAGGCTCCATGACCAGACCAAGTGCTGAGGCCCTGTGATGAGCACCCCAAGAAGGCCAGGGAGCAGGATGTGACTTGGATGGCTGGGTTCCATGCAGTTCTCCAGAGGCTTCCTCACCTTGGTGTGTGACGCCCAGGCTGGGGACCCCAAAGCTGGGCTCCACAGGGACTGTTCATGCAGACGCTGCACCTGACCTCTCCAGGTGACTCAGGATTTTTCAGCTTGGTAGTGTCAGGGGTGGTGGCCACTTATTAATGTGACTCGGAACCCCAAGAAAAGACATTTGAAAAGACAAAGTAGAAGTTGAACAGCTCTTTATGACATCAGCTCAGAAGTCACACTGTGTCACTTCCACTGCAGGATCAGAGCAGTCATCACCCTGCCCATGTTCAGAGGGAGGATGAGGACCTGGCTCTTGGAGGAGGGGACTGCACTCAGCCTTCTGTGACCTGCTGTAGGCCAATGTTCAGGATGCATCCAGGGAATGTGGAGCTGGGCCTCGGGGCAGATAATGCCTTCGAAAGGATTAAGACATTCATAGAAGTATCAGTTTTACTTTCCTCAGTTTTATGTGGATAGACGTGCTTTATGACAAAAAACCTTTCCCTAAGAAGTTCAAAAGGAATCTCAATATATGCTAGAAAATTTGCAGGTGATATCCAGCTTGAATTTGTAGAATTGTTTTTCTTTTGCAATTGTCTTTAATATAACAGAATATCTTGAATAGTGGTCCTTTAGGGGTAGATACAACCCAATATGCCCCACTACTACACAGTGGGATCTCACATTGCACAGGCTGCATGACTTTTATTATTGTAGCTTTGTCCCCCCCCACCCCCACCCAGTGACTGGACATGCGACTGTGGCCTTAATCTGCCTCTTCCTAGTTCCTGATGGGGCTGCTCAAGAGAATGATCACCCTATTTTCTCCTCTTGTGAAGAGCTCTTTGTGCTGGGTGGTCCTCTGATTGAAATGCTTATTGTAATGGTTTAGATCAAGGATGTCCCCAAGGGCCTGACACTCTCACAGATAGGGTTAGGGAAGGTGACTGGTGACAGGGGTGCTAAATTGCTACCAGCAAGTGGGTCTGGCCAGAAGAGGCAGGTCACTGAAGGTGGGAGGTGGCAAGATGTATATTCCCAGCCCTCTCTTCTCTCTCCTTGCTGGAGTCTATGACATGAGCAGCTTCCTTCTGTGCCACACCCCACCCTCGTGCCTTGAAGCCAGCCTCCCATGGACGACACATGTGAGCCAGATGAACTCCTTTAAGTTGGCCTAATGAAAGAAAGTGACTAAGACATTTATCTTGTTTTACATTTGCTCATTAACCTTATGCATTTTAGTTATGAACCATTTTTTTTCTCACCTGTTGCAAATACCTTCTTCCAAGTTTGATCTTTGTTTCTTCATTGTGTTGGCTTCTTAGAAAATATAAGTCTTACTTTAGTGCAGAGTGCTCATTTGAATAAGTATCCGCAAAGGTCTGTGACTCAGGGGCTTGGGCCCAGGTCCCCAGAATAGTACTGTGGGGAGGTAGACTGTCTAGGATGGTGGTGGTGAATTTAGGGCACACTTACCAAGCTGGCTGTTCATTCTCACTGAAAACCCTAAATGATTCGCCATCGCTGGTCTAGGAGGTGGGGCTTGGTGGAGGTTCTTCAAGTCTGTGGGGACAGACCCTTGGAGAGGATTGTGGGACACCTGCACCCATCTCTTCCTCTATTCCTCCTGGCTCCTGGTGTCAGCCACCCCAGCCAACATTGGCATGGTGTCCCACTCTTTCCAGAGGCCCAAAGAGATGGGGCTGGCTTATCCTAACTTCTAAAACCTAATGAGACATTAGTCTTTCTAATTGCTTCAGATATTTTGTTGTAGTAACAAGAGAGTGATTTACGCACAATTGAATTGCCCCTTTTCACCTGAATCCCATCCCAGTTTACTGCCCAGTTCTCATAAGTCCTAGAATTTGCCCTATCTGACGCAGAGCTGGCATTCCTCAGCCAAGGGGACCTGAGAAAAGATGGAGGGCAGCAGGGACAGTTCTAGGCAAGGCCTGAGAGCCTTTCTGTGCTCAGGGAGTTCTGGGGCAGCTGAGGCCTTGGACCATCCGCCTGGGGGTACAGGCGGGAGGCTCAGGTGAGAACACAGCACTCGGCTACAGTACTACTGTGGCCAGGGTCCAGGAGAGAAAGAGTCAGAGTGCTTTGGGCAAGAGAGCAGTGATGAATGCAACCATGGCCCCCAAGAGCTGTGGTCTAAAACAGAGCAACCCCAGTGGCCCTGCAGGAACTAGTGCATGCCATTGGCAGGGCCACCTGGAGGCAGAAAGCTGAGGTCCCTGCAGTTAGGCCACACAGCTGCTGCCCAGTGAGAGCGATATGTAGACTTGACCCTGAACACAGGGTTTCCTGGCCGCAGGCCCTGCTGTTCCTGCTCAGCCCAGCCGTCAGCCTGCTGCAAAGGACGCAGGCTCTGTCTGTGCGTTGCAGTCTCAGACTTTTCCAGAGTTGCGAGAGCCCCAGAAGCCACGACCTGGCCACCCTGCATGCTCTTGGGCCAAAGTGAGAGTTGTGCGCCTTGCACTGTCTCCTCGCTGAGGCTGATGGAGAGCCAGAGAGGTGTACCCTCCTGTCCTGCCAGGCAGAGCTGAGGGAGGGTGAGGATGGCAGGCGCTGTCACCTCCCCACACTGCCTGTCTCCCAGCTGCCATTCCCTTCCTTTTCTACCTTCCCTTGCTTCTTTTCTGTGCACAAACATAAGGTCTTTGATTTTTTTTCACATGAAGCTGCCTTTTTTTTTTTTTTGCCTCCCTCCCTCCCTCCCTCCCTCCCTTCCTTTCTTCCTTCCTTCCTCCCACTGAATCTTCCATTCTTCCTGCATGCTACCTTGTTTTTCTCCAGGGCTTAGGTGGGGCCCTGGAGTAAAGAAGTATGCCTTGGCCTCAGACTCTTTCTCCAGCAGATTATTTTCAGATCTATACATGTGGCCTGTTCAGGGTCCATCATGAGAAAAACTGCACAAATGATCAAATTGTAAGTGTCTGAGTTCTCGGGATGAGGAGAAAGAAAATACCTGGCTTTGGAAATGAAGCATGGACTAAATCGATTTTTTAAATATCAAAAGATACTTTAAAAATATGCTTTACCAGGCATAGACAGCATAGCAAGAAGCTACATCGTCCTGGCAGGACCATCTAGGGCTCAATGCTGCCTGTACCTATCTTTTAGACAGGCTGTGAGGTGTCAGGTTGGGGAGAGTAGGGGTGGGGGGTAGAGAAGGGCTTGGGAAGAAAACCAGAGGCCAGGCCTGAGGACTCAAGGCCTGTAGGTGTGAATGGAAATCACAGGAAATTTGTAAATTCTTGCCGATGAGATTGATGTGCAAACATTAAATCAGATTTTTACTGCTGGGACAGACACTTTGGAGCAATAACTGTGACCGTGGAAATAAATATTTTGTGTGGGTTATGGAGGGGAAGCAGTGTGCAAATATCTGTGTTAATCACTGAAGCTTGCCCCTCCAGATCAAGATCACACAGAGAAATCAGCCCCCACGGACAGCTCCCAGAGGCTTCCAAGGTCACTCTCCGTAGGCCACTGACCCTGGAATGCAGCTGCAATGTGACAGTGAACCGTGAAATACAGAAGAGGGCAAGCTAGCTGCTCCGCTGCTGCTCCCCGCCCAGGCACTGCTCCCTTTGGTGAAACGCATAAAGCTTGAGGGAGAAGCAGACGGGGAACAGCTGCAGCCAGGTACTCAGCCCAGATGCCAAACCACTCAGTGCCCCTGCTGGGTGGGACAGGGACTGGAGTCTGTGAGAGAAACAAGAAGGTGCTGTGCCACCCACAGGCTGCGCTCTGAGCCAGGCCCAGAGGCCCAGGCATTCTGCGAAATGCACAGAAATCTTAAGGGAAAGGTGAGGGGGGCAGGGGGGCTGTATGGTGCTCAGCGGGACACCGCTGCCCACAGTGGTAGCTCAGCCCAGAGCAAGCTGAATTATTTCCCATATTAACGGTAGGTTAAACCCAGCAAGAGAGAAGAAAGGCTACCTTCCCAGTTCCTGAGGAAGAGCTGGTCTTCCCTCCCCATCCCCTGGTGAATCAGAAACAAGGTCAACACTGCTTCTGCGAGTGACGCCAACATATTCTCATACTCCTGCGCTATCTTCCAGACCTGACTGAAATTAATTATATACTTTCAAGTCTGGTTGAGTTCCCTGCCTCATAAATGATCATGAATAAGCAGCAGCCTGGCACAGGTCATTTCAAAGGGAATCAACTTCAGTGCTGTACTAGGCATCCTCACTGCCTAGAGAAGTAGGGAGAGTCCTAATCCACGATCCTTGGGCTTCTAGGCAGAGTCTAGCTAAGGTTCTTCTAAGCTTGTAGTTCATTGAATCAACTTGCTGTGAAGACTATGGGTGCTACAAGGTACGGAATGAACACTCAAGGCCTAAGCTAGCTGTCAGTCCCGGAGGGACCTTGGCTGCAGTGGAGTGACGTGGGGAGTGCAAATCTCAGGACCAT